ATAAACAGCATTCACAGCTAGAAACTGCCCAGCCCTTTATTGTCTAGGTGAGCATTGCAGCTTCACAATAAGGTGCCTAGAGTTAATTAAGCCAGTTCTACATTAATGAACTCAGATTTATGACCTAATTATATGCCACATTTATATTTCTCTGTATAAATCAGAACCACCAGAACTAACTTATTTCATAGGCCATTGGCAACACTTGCCATCACAGCAGAGAGATGGCTTTCCTTTATTGGCTTTAATTTGTTTACCTGAGGGTGGATGGTTTGCTAGATGATTTGGATCAGATCTGATCACATCATCAATATTTCTCTTTTGGGTGTTCAAAATGAGACCTTTTACAAGTCCCCCACATTTCCTCTCCTCCATTATATCTCTTTGTCAAGGTATCTGTCTGGCAACACCATAAACTAGGAACAACCAGAGTCAATACTGACTGCTTTTATGGTCAAAGCTCCAAAGTGTGCCACTGTGAGTAAGATGGATCTGTCTGTCTGTCTATCTATCTACTAATTGCACAGTCTCATTTTTCGTTTTAACCACCTCGAAATTCAGCTGCACCTTTTTTGTCAAAGCTTTTACAGAGTTTGGCTTGACAAGCTTTGGCCATTACAGCAAGCATCCTAACAGATGCTCATAATCATGCTGCTCTCCTGAGGAAGGTTACTTTGGGTTTGAGGAGTCAAATTCCCTGGGTCAAACTGTGTAAGTGTAGCATCCTCCTATGCCCTCGGCCAGCGAGAGAAAGAGCAGGAAAGGGAACACAAAAGCTTCAGAGCATTCTTCTCCTTCCCAACCCTATGCTTCTTCCTGTCCCCCCTCTCCTGCATGTTCCCTCCCTCACCTCTCCTTTTCCTGCATCCCATTCCTCCCATCTGCCACTGCACGCCATTCTCCTCATCTCCTGCTGCCCCTGCAGAGGCATCCCTGCAGTCAGAGCCTAGCCCCCAGGTGCATTAATGCTGTTGTCTCAGCACTGGCTCCTCTGATCTACTCCTAACTTTTTTTATTTTTGTTTTTTGTTTTTAAATTAATTTCCCTGTAGATTTTAACCACTCCATTTTCATTTACCCATTTTGTTCTTCCTCTCCTCCCTTCCCCACCCTCCTCTTCCTTCCCCTGTTCCCTTTGTCTGTCTGTGTCCATCCCTTACCCTACCACAGAAAACCTCTCCTCTCCCCTCAGTATAAAGCAAGAGCCTCATGGAGCCTCTCTCACCCCTTTCACCCCCACCACGCCGGTCGGCTCTGGGCAGGCTGATCTTCAGCCCTTCCACATGGCCCTTTCAGACGATGCGTCCACGCCTTGCTACAGTGCCTTCCTTCATCATGGTGCCCATTTTGGGCAGTCCAGCAGCCAGCCTCTGATAGCAGGTAACTGGCCTTGGCCACAAACTCAGTGGGGATGCTGCAGTCAAGGGGTTCAGTTTCATCTGACGGGGAAACCAGTAAATGCTGCAAGCTCTTTGACTGCAAGTGGGAACTAGAGCAACCACGTTCCAGTTCTGTGTATGCAGCATGAGTTCTCAGCTCCATGGAGAGCCACAGAAGGATTTCATGCCCATCCTGCATTTTCTAGAATAAAATGGGAAAAGAAGCTGTACACACCTGGAAGTGACAGAGTGTCCCAGTCAGGTGTGCCTGGGACTTAGTATAGAAACACTTGTGCAGCAAAATCCCATGTTGCCTCAATAGCCATAACAAGTTTTGTTGGCCCATCAAAGGTGCTGGGTGCTAGCCTAAGGTAGGTGGTAGCAGCTTGAATAACCGAGACAGCTTGAGGACTGGCAGGGTCATTTGGCATGGGTTGTACACACTTCTCAGATAGATAATTTTAATATTGCAATATTTGAATCACCTGGTTTGGGAGTGTCAATGGGAGCTGGTGCCTTCACATAGCAGACCAAGCAGTTAAGAAACAGGGCATCACATCTGAATGTCAAGACCAGGAATGGTGGTTCAGAGACGATTATATTTTAAGAGCCAAAGAAGTACAGACCGGAGGTAGGTAGCCTTTTAGAAGAGGACAGAAGTGAAGAAATAGGTTGCAGAAGATGCCAGCACTTTGAAGCAACAGACAGGAGGGGAGGATATGGAGGAAGGAGAAGTTCTGGGTAGGTACTCAGAAAAACTCTTGTGCAAGGTAACTAAAGCAACATTGCAGCAGAAGATCAGGGGTGGCTTGGATGAAATAGTGGGTATCATTTTAGGTGACTGCTGAGGCTGTTGCCACTCCATGGTCAAACAACGTAATTTGGGCTTTTCAGAACAGACAAAGTCTAAGTGCAGACCACACTTCCTAATACTCAAGAAACACATCTTACCTCTGCTTTCTTCATGTTGCTATATTATTTTTTTCTTTTGACCATCCTCCCTTTGTCCTGTCAGGTGAGACTTGCATGAAGCCTCCCTGTAGGAAAGCAGCAAGTAACAGCAGAGAATACTTTTGTGTTCATAACACTGTCCAATCTTACTGCAGCCAATAAAAGCCTCTGAGCTCTGGGCACTTCCTAAGCCAAGGAGTCTCCTGACAGATGCTCTCCAACAATACAGTTCTCTGGGGATGCAGTCATATACAACTACCCTCTAGCCTAGAAGGCACTGTGTTTCAGGGGAGGCACCTTAGGACCCTTAGGGAGAATTAGATATGGGAGAAATTGTTCAAAAGCCCAGATAATGTTACTGCAATGAAGGTGCTTTTCCTCATGCAGAAGGCTCTTGAAGAAGGGAGAATGGCTGGAAGTGGAAGTATATGATGAGCAGGATAGGTGCTAGCCTTGCCATAGCCCAGGAGTACAATAATTTAATAATCCTGTCTACCTGTTGGTAATGAGAGGAGGTAATGGAGGGGGCGTGCTTGTATATAACAACATTTAAGTCCCTCTCTGTGGGACTCTAACTCATGTCGCTGATACTGTACTTTTTTGAGACTGGGATTTTGACAGATGATCACTTCCCAATGAATTTTCCACACTGAGTTTTGAACATCAGTCTTTGTGCACTCATGTCTGAATAAAAACACAGGGGCATATGTGCACAGATTGAGTAGCAGAGTAAATGTGTATGCATTCCCTCTTGAATGGAAGTATCAAAATGAATTAATTTTGCGTGCTGCTACACACTGTTCTCTCTAAGTTTTCAGTGACACTGTTTTGTCACTCATCACCTGTTGTTATTCCTCAGTCCAGCCAATATATGAAACCAAAAGAACATGAGTTTTAAGCATAAAACTTTCTTGCCTTAAAAGGATGCGAGGGAAGAAAAACAAACTACAGGTGTTAATCATACAGCTTAACACATAGCTACAAATCACTAAAGGAAAGATGTTGATAAGAGTAAAAGAGTGTAGAATGTAAATCCCTGAGGAATTGTATATTTATTTTTATCAATATTGGGGAGTGGCTGGAAAATGGCTCAGTCTATGTATTATCTAAGAGAAGGTGAGCTAGGAACCTCAGCCACAGATCAGGAACCTCTCCAGGGAGAAAGAATGAGCTTGTATTTCTTTTTTCCTGAGCAAATCACCTCAATAATCTGTAGTCAAGACCTATGAAAGCAATGACACTGGTCTAGCCTACCTCATCCCAGAGAAACGACTTCCCTTCAGGTTAAGCTCCATGTTGATTAGTTTTTTCTTTGCTGTTTAACTTACTTATTTCTGATTCCCCAGCCAAGGTTCATGCTTGTTCCAGGGCCTGCTTTATCAGTTAGCATTCTGGAACTACTAGAGCTAAACCACCTCTAATTCTTTCATTGGCATATTCCAGCACAGTTCCAGTGACTCCAGTGGTGCTAATTGGCCATACTTAACCTGTCACTTCTACAGACTAGTCAGTCTCCAGCCCTCCAGTTAGATGGGAAAGAAAAAATTAGCAAAGGAACAACAAATGCCACAAACTTCTTGGCGAGCTACAGTTCACCTAGGGAACGTGAAAGGCTTTGGATGCCTGGAACAGGCTGAGATCTCCGTAGGCAGCACTGAAGGTTGAGCTCTAAATCTTCTAGCAGTTGTGTGGGAAAGATTATCTTAATTTTTTTCTATTTTTTCTTTTGGGTTTTGGCTCAAAACTCCCAGCAGCTTCTGAGATTATTTTAGTTCATTTAAATGCAATAAGCACTAACAGCAGAATGCCCTTCTGGCTGGCCCATTTTCAGGCTAACCAGTCCAAATGAGGAAATGCCTCTGGCATCAACCAAGAAGCCTCCGGCTGCACTTCCTAAGAGATGAAAAATAAACTACAATCATCCACCCAGCCCACATCCCTCTCTACTTCTTTGGTGGAGAAAAGATATCACAGCTTGAAGTATTACTAACACAAAAATGTACCTGTGATAAAAATGAAGTGGACTCAAACTAATTTGCATGATCCTATTTTTATATGTATTACATCAGCACCTGTAAGGAATCCAACCAGCATTGATTTCATTCTAAGCACTGCAAATGTACTAGAAGTGTGCCCTTGCACCAAAGAGTTTGCAGCATAAAAAGAAGCTCAGAGAGGTGAAGTGACTTGCCTGAAAACATCAGCAGGTGAACAGCAGAAGTGGGAAGAGAGAGAGGCACAGAAAACTCTTGGATCACTTTCCAATGCCTTGCACATTGATCATTCCCTAAAGCAACATCACCACAGTTCTGGAACTGCATCCACTGCATACAGACAAGACCTCAGCTACTCTAGCAAGAAATATGCTGCCATTCTCTGTGCAGCTTAGGGCCATTTTGACTTAGTTAAAATAGATCTAAAATCTACCATAAACAAAGCAAATTATTTTGAGCCTCACAAAGCGAAGTTTTAACACCCATCCTCACAGTGTGAGATCAAAAGTGCCACAATCTTCCCCCAACATCTCCCACGGCCGGACAGCACTTACATAAGAGAAGAACAGCACTTGCCTATTAAGCTGCTAGTCATGTGACAGTGGGACAAAAGGTGATATCAAATCAGTACTGAAAGATCTTACCCCTATTGATCACCTGATTCTTTCCCTTTCCAGGTCGTGACATGGCAAGCACCACCTTGCCTGGCTACCCACCCCATGTTCCTCCGACTGGACAAGGCAGCTACCCAACCTCAACTCTTGCAGGAATGGTTCCTGGTAAGTCAGCCTCCAGACTTCAGTAATGGCACACACGTTTGAACGTTACACTAACATTGTAAGTGCTTTCACAGCTGGCTTTGCTAGTGCTTTGATCTTATTAAGGACTGTTATTTTAATACAGAAATTATCAGGTGCCTATAACCAATGTAGCTAACAACCCTTTCTGTAATGCATCGCTTTCCCCCTAGTAACTGATTCACCGCTGCTACGGGCAACTAGCTATCTATAACCTGTGGCAATTAATTGGTAATTAATTAACCTTAGTATTCATTAACTAATGTAATTATTTTCCAATGACCCATGCAGATTATTATGTACTGCTCATGGCTCAGGATATTCAGCTATCCACTAACTTAAGCTAACAACTTGCCTTTCTATCTAAAGCCAGAACATCAAACTAAAAATCATCAATGGTAATTTAGCACCTGCAGTTTTTGGAGACCTACTGTTCGTAGCCTGAACTAGCTAAGAACTCAGCAATGATTAACAGAATTTCAGGAGAAACTAAGTATTCGTTTTTATAAACCAACTACTTACCTACCTCCTGTTTGTAAGATAGTTCTTCCAATCCAAGAAACTATCTACCTGATCCTACATTCAGACTGTTCCTTTGCTACTCAATGCCCTTGGATCAATACCTTCTCTTGGCAAGTGGGTTCTCCCGCTGTATAGGGAGACTATTTCACCATTTACCTTAGGGAAATTGAAAAGTTTATTTCCCCGGGCTCTATTTGCCACTCATCAGTATACCCAAAAAGACAGAAAGACCTCCCAAAAGAGAAGGAAGAGTGTGATAAAGTGGAGTTATACGTCAAAGAAAAAAAAAGATTATTCAAGTCAAATGCATATCTTTACATTAAATCTGATGTCAACATTCAATTAGATGAAGTTTTTCCAGTGGGCTACTTGGGGATCCTGCAGCTGTTACTGCAGCTTTCCACAAAGCATCAAGTTCTGGCTGTTTCAGTCATACCTCACTGGTCAGACCCAGCCTGGCAGCCCTTCTATTCCTGTCTTCTAATGTGACTGAAGCCAACAAGCAGGAGATAAAAGAGGCTTCCTGGGAAGAAACGTAAGACTTGAGTTTAATGGGTCACACTGCAGATCTCTGCAGCCACTAATCTCTGTGAGGGACTAAGGGTGAATGCCTGGGGAAGGGTATGAGCAGATCAAATGGATCTGTACCTTTGCAAAAGATGTCCCAGCCTTCAACAACTTTCAGTTCAGAGACTTCCTAAGCCAGACTTTGTATCTTTCTGTTGAAACACCCTCAACAAGTTCCCTCCCCACAAACTTAAACAGTGTTTCTTGAACCCATATAAGCCATTAACATCTGTAGTAACCTATGACAAATAATTCTGTAGCTGAACTATATATTGCATTAAAACTACCTCCTTTATTTGTTCTGAACTTGCCACCTGCTAGGCTCACTTCATGCCTCATGGTTTCTGTATTAGAAGACTAAACGTGCCAAGATTTAAATACAGATACCAAGAGATACTGTTAGTAAAGGTTCCCAGAGCACAGATTGCACAGAATATAGGCCTCATGAGATCGATCCTCTGTGCTTGCTTGTAACCTCTGTTAAGAGTCCAGGTTAAACGAGAAACAAATATGATGTCACCAGTGGTTTGTTACATGCCCCCAGGCCAAGAAAGACCAGGGGCCAGTGCTTTAAGTACATTGCAAAGAAGAAACCAGCAAGATGACCACTCTTTAAGAAACATACAGACATGCAAACAACCAGTTTTCCAGATGTGAGTGAATATGAGGAAGAGACTGTGACTTCTTGAAATAAAGGTGCAGAGCTAAAAAGCAGAACTATTCAGAAGGCAGAATTTCAACTCTGATTTTTTGACATTTGTTTTCATCTTGCATTGGGATGACAAGTCGGTCTTGAAATAGTTCAATTTGCAAACATCAGGATGAAACATTTCAATAACGTCAACATGTTCTAGATGTCAAGACATATTAAAATAATAAAAGGGTTGAAAGAAAATTAAATGAGATGAGAAAGGCAAAATGAAACAAAACAAGAAAGTGGAAACATGATACTTTGTTTCAATTTGCAATCATTTCAGAACTTTTCTTTCCAAAAGCCCATTGAAGCTGACAAGCTCCTGCAAAATATTTCCATTTCAATGAGATAGCATTTTCCAGTAGAAAACTGTTTCTGAGAAGATTGACCAGTGGTAACCAAAGCTGCTCTGTTCTATCCATGACAACCTTTCACTAGACTTCTACTTGTATAGTCTAAAGAAGAGCTTGTCTCCAGTAGCAGTACATCCATGCAACATGGTTAGTCATGCATGCAAATATCTCTGAGGTTTATGTAGATGAAGTGGTAATATACATATCCTGCATTTGCCCTTGCCTGTAACTTCAGGTCCTTGGCTGCAGACAGGGATAAAAGTCAGTAGTCTCTGAGCACACACTCGAAAAAGCAGGAGTTTGTCACTCAAAGAAGGATGAATTGGGTATTGTGCTACACTTAACCTATGCATCTGAGAGATGCTTCCTGCCCAGATAACAGCATCTTTGATCCCTGCCTCAATTCTTCCTCTTTCCCAGAAAGGCCATCAAGTTTCTACAAACTGTTTTGGCGAAGTGAGCATCCGCTGAAGGGAACTGCAGCTCACACAGAGCAGCGTTGAGCCTGCAGAGGGCTGGTGATGGCAACGGCAGGGAGTCGTTAAACAGAATCCAATGTTGATGAGGAAATTACACTTGTTTCATTAGTGATCGGGGAAGGCGATAGCTCAGTTCCTCTTGGTCACAGTTGAGCTCAAAAGCTCATTATCCTGCTGCATGCATGCTTTCACTCCTCGTCAATAAACACTGTTTCCACTGGCGGCCCTCCCTCCTTCCCAGCTCTCCATAGTCAGGGCTCTTCTCCTCTACTTAACCCATGCTTTAGGAACACTATAAACAGTTTAGGGTGTCAACTCGGAAGAGGGTGAGAGAGAAGCTTTGAAATATAAGAACTTATTTCCATGCAGAAAGTTTGTATGAGGCACTTCAAAGCAGAAATTCTCATCTGGGTAGTTGTTTTCCTTCTTAGAGGAGCAACCTCATTCCAGTGTATCTCAGATAAGTCACTTCAGTAGAGATAAATCTGGAGTCTGCATTGCTTTTTGCCTTTGTATCCCATTCCACAGCATCTTGAGTCATCTCAGCAGGTTTCACCTATTTCTTCCCAGCTAGCTGTCAGGAACTTCAGTGCAGGATGTTTCTAGATAAGGAAATATGCTGAGCTATTTTCATTGAAACAGCACTTAGCAAAGTCTGTCACACAAAATGAGGTTTTATGCTGAAACTAAAAACTGCTGTGACTAAAATACCTTTGGATGGTGATCAGTTTTAATACATACACATTTTCATACTGACTGCTTTGGTACTGTGAACGTCTTTTAAAACTTGGCTGGACAAGCTGTCCTCAAGTTTAAACCAGTGCAAATCACCTGACTTCAACACACTTCATTTCTACCATCTGAAAATCTATGGTTTTGACTTTAAGTCTCTGGTGATGTGAGATTTGCAAAGATCACAGTATAATTAATTGACATTTCTTTGGTAATTGTATCACAGGCATCCAGCATGTCTTGCATTCCCTTCTTTCCATGTTCCATGGTATCTAGCAGGAACCCCACATGCTTTCCAAACACTTCTGTTGCAACAATTCCACCCCTGCTTTAAGGCAGACAGGAAGCTAATAATCACACTGTTGTTCCACTGACTTTTAAGTGCATCATACCTTTCAAATGGCACTAATTGTCCCCAGTCTGTTGGTACTGCATTAAAATAAGGTTATGATCTGATAACAGCATGTATTTACTTACCAGAATCATTCAGTTTTTAGTTTTGGGAGATTTCTTTATTTTGAATGCAGCTTCCTCAGCTGTCAAATATAATTCCCTTAGCCCTACACAGCCTGCTATAAAACAAGGAGGCTCAGCTCCTTATACACAATAAAACTGAATATTTAAGAAGACTATACAGCATTCAAATCTTGTGTCAGAGTCTACTAGATCACAAAGCTCACAAGTATTATGGTTTAGGCCCCTATTATTGAGTGTGAAGAAGGGAGCTGTAGTCTAGCTTGTCTTTCAGATGCAGAATAGTACCTAAAGTGCTAATCATTAGAAAATTATTTTCTGGAACTGGAATACAGCAAGTTTTCTCTGTAATTCATTAGCTAAGCATAAAGGTGGGGTTAATCCTGTATGAGTCACTTTTCTGACTAACACCATCATAAAGAGTAAGAAAGAAAGAGTGATTCACGTTTTCCATTTTGTTTTGTATTTAAGCTGACCCTGCTCTCAGAACATTTCCAGAAACAAGTTATACTCTCCTCCACAAATATGACATGACACTCAGTACCCTGTGAACAAATCTTAGCAACCACCAACAGCACTGCTAGTTCCAATGAGTCTATTGTGAGCTTGTCCCACCAAGTTCCCATGCTTGCTGTCCTGATGCTAGTGGAGAACGTTAGATTTTGGGTAAAAGAAACTGGGAGTTAATTGCAGAAAAAGCTTGCGTAGGCAGTCCTACTGCAACCTGAGAATTGGAAGTCAGAAGGCAATGAAAAATAAACCAGCTTATTTGTATTATTGAATTTAATTATTTTAAACTAATTTATTTATTTATTTCTGAAGAGGTCAATCTTAATGATTTTAATTATACAGGTAAGCAACACTACACTGAACAAACACCACAGTGTCCTGAAGGACACAGTCTCAGCTGGGCAAGGAAGCTACATATGCTAGTTTTCCTGCTGGCATACACAGCCAGCATGGACACTGGCTTGATGAAACAGCAGACACAAACTTTCATTCCTAACTGTATTTCACACCCTCCTTGTTTTCTTCCAGGGAGCGAGTTTTCAGGGAACCCCTACAGCCACCCTCAGTACACAACCTACAACGAGGCCTGGCGGTTCAGCAACCCTGCGTTACTAAGTGAGTACCTCTTTCCCACAGCACACCCCCAGCCTCGCGCTCCTTCTGTTTGTCTCTTTGTTTTCTTTTCTTGTTGGTTTTGTTTGTTTGTTTGTTTCTGAAGAGGGTTTTCAAGTATTTGGACAGGCAGGAGGGCTTTTTCCTCACTCTCCAGTTCATTGTCTAGGTGGGTATATACCTCACGTGTGTTTTTGTATCTGTTCTGAAGCCAGTTCCTCTCTCCTGAGATGGTTCAGAATTCCACATTAGCTCTGGCTTCTCCGTGGCCTGCCTCCGCATTTTAGTGAAGATTAGATCAAAAGTTAAACTCAGGTTTTGCTACTGTCTCAGGCCACAATCAGCAAAAGTTCAAGGTCTGATTAAAAGTGATTAAAGATGAAGTGTCACTCCTTTCCCAGACTAAAGCTGGAGTCAACTCTGGGGATCTGGAAATGCCATAGAAGTTCTTCTTTTCAGACCAGTTGGAGCAGTGTGTCCAGAGAGAGAGACATGCTGGATCACTAGGTTTATAACAGCCAGTAGGGTTTTCTTGCGGTGATATCTGTCTCCAGTAAGTAATATGCCCAGAAATCATCAGGTTTTTTTCCTCTTGGGGAAAAAGCCTCCCTTAGGACAACACTTCTAACACAACATTTCTTAGCAAGGGAACAGGGAGAGATTCATTATATGCAAAATAAATCAGCTGAGATTATTACCTATGTATTTACTGAGGTTTTACAACTGGGTAGCAGAGGTACATTTTATTCCAGTGTTGTTAAATCTCAGTAAATATGATCTTAATAATCAATCACTATTTAATACACATTCAATAACCACCTAGAGTGCTCTCATGCCAAAATCCCAAGTCGTAAGAACATTGTCATTTTTTTCTTCTCTCCTGGTTTTAAAAATTACCTATTATACTTTGCCAGTTATACTCAGAACATCTGGCCCTAACACTTTTCTTGTGGCCATGGATCAGGTGTGGCATATTTGTGCTGCAATGCTCATGGGCTTCCCTTTTGACGACTTGCTCATGGTTAGAAGGAGCAAAAGGATATCCTTCCCATAGGCGGACTTCAGAGCCAGAGACCAAGGCAGCATCTTTCCACTGAGGCACATCCCTCAGCTGCCTTCCTCTGATTGCCTTTCCCTAATCCCATCAAGAGCTCAGTCCTCAAGTTCATTCTTTGGGTTCCTTTCCTTTGCTTTCTTCCTTTCTTTTTCAGTTCTCCTTTGTTTCTTTTCTTAGTTTGATTGTTTTTTATTTTTATTTTATTTTATTTTTTTTACTGTTTGTCCTTTCAACCAGTCCATTCTTCTCCTGTGTTAACTTTCAGGTTCCCCTTATTATTATAGTGCCACATCCCGGGGCTCCGCACCTCCCACTGCTGCCACTGCCTATGACCGCCACTAGTTACCATGGAAACCACATGAAACTGCAGGGCGACAGCTTAGGCCTCCACATTGTACCTGTCTGATCACCTCTCTACATCCCTGGGAAGGGTGAAGAGACCTCCTCCATTCCTTACCACAGTCCAGTTCCTTCCCCTTCACCACGAAGGCACCGGACCCAGCACTCACCACCCCAGACCGAGACCCCCGCCCTCCGCCCTGACCGCACCCCAACGCCGGGAAGAGCCAAGCGGCTTCTCCTGCAGGAGCCCTCCACTGCACCTGGGCAAAACGCCCACACGAAGTCCCCTTGGCTTCCAGGACTTCAGGGGGACTGGAAAACAATGCAGCTGGCAACCACTGCATTACAGGACCCCCCTTCTGGGAGCGGTAAGGGCCAGGGGGAGCAGGGGAGAACACCGCTCACCAAACACTGTTCCCCAAAGATACGCTCCTCTGCGGTGGACTCTTCAACATGTGTAACCTGTGATGCTCATCCTGTTTCCCAGGGCAGAGGGAACAGTCTGGCTAGAGCAGAGATGGCAGTACAGAGACCTGGCCTATCTGGCAATGAAGACAAGGACCAAGTAACTGTCTGCACCCCATGAGGGGTTCTCGGTGCACCTCATCCCCACTCTCCAGCGTGGCTTCCCCCATGGGTGGCTGCACCTCACACGTGGTGACTTTGCAGGCCAGAGCTGGGAGGAGCCTCACACATACACCCACAATTTCTGTGACACACAATCAGCTCAGACAGGAGGATGGAGCAACATTTACAAACCAACCGATGAGATGAAGAAATATATAAATAGATATATAAATATAACTGTGTTTTTATGCTTTGTCATGAAGGTCTGTAAAAAGGAAAAAAAAAAAGAACAAATCCCCAATTTTCTAAAAAACCCAAGCAAACAAAAACAACAAAAAAACCAAAATAATAATTAAAAAACCCTACAAAAATAAAACTCCAAGTCCCATCCCTCCCCACCACCTGAATGGCAGACGAGTTCCTCTGACGTTTGATGCTCCTCTTTCACTCTAGGGTTTTGTTTCCTTTCTGTTTTGCACTACAATGGGATGGTGGTATTGGAGAGGATTGGATGCCAGCTACACCCCAGTTGCCTCCTCCTCCTCCTCTCCCTTTCCCAAATCCTGTCTCTGGGGAGCAGTGCGGACAAGTCACACCTGACCAAGTTACCAAACACATCAGTCGACAAAAAGCACTCTGAGTCAACAAACGTTTTCCATGTCACTGGTTGGCAAACAAAGAAAAGAAGCCCAGCTGCGCTCTAACTGCGCTGTGTGGTGGAAAGTGTGGGGCTTCATGTGGGCCCATCTGATTGCCCTCTGGACAGCTGAGACTGAGATGGACAAATTCAGGATTGGCTGGGATTATTGCTTGGTTCCCTAGCCCTTAGCTGCCACTCCTTTTACCTTAACCCCTGTACCTGTGACAACTTCAGTTCACCCACATCCCAACTTTCACAATTTTAGATAAGCCCAACATCCATTCTCCAAATCCCCACAGCCAGTGACAACAGCCTCATTATCTGTGCCCACCACCTAATTTCCTAACCACTGTAGCCTTGCTATATGGGCTCCCTTCAATTCCTGGTCTGCCTGCTCATACACCTACTAATTATAGGCCTCCATTCAAATCCATATGCTTGCATCCTAAAAGCCAATCCCAACAAACAGCCCCATCTTTTCATCTTCAATCCTATATTGTGCACCCTAATATTTACCCGTTATCCCAAATGCTCATCTCATGATTCTCTAGGGGTTCTCTGCTCTTTTTGGTTCCCAAGTGACTGGCAAACGCTGTTCTGCAAAAGGCTGTCAATAGAAATGCTTATTACTCCTGTATCGTCAGCAGATTCATGCAACAGTGCAACTGTTCTTGCACTGACACTTCCTAAAAAAACACTCAAAGAAAACATGAAGGCAGCTATAGCCTGTCCCCAGGGCATCAAGTCTGCCAAAGTCGATCCTTGCTGTTCTAGAGAGGTTTCAGATAAAACTTGTGGGCTACTGTCCATGGACAAAGACAGGATTGAGAATCAAACCCCTGAAGGGCATAAAAATGAACAGTGGAGCAATCTGCACAGCCAACATTATGTATAAAATCCAAAGTTAACAGCCTCAGAGGAGATGTGGTTGTGGACTCAGTATTCTATTTTCAAGTTTAACTTGTATGTATGAAATCCATCATCAGTAAACAGCTGTGTCAATCCCAAGGCCCCTTTCACCTAACAGCCCTTGCATGGCTCTGATTATAGGTCTGTGTCTTCTTTAAAGGGGTGCCCAAATGATAAGGGTATTTGGGGGGGGATGTTTACATAGAAGATATAGAGCTAAAATCTGTTCCTGTACAGAATAAAATCAAAGAGGTTACTCCTGATCTATTAAAAATGTCATTCTACACATCTTACCTCTGAGTAACCTGCTGCAAATACCAGAGTTGTTACACTGACACCAAGACCAGAAATTGGCCCATTATTTCACCTTACTGTGTATGAGAAGAAAATTGAGTAAATTCTAAAAATTTATTTTCACCACTCCTTCTTGTTTTCCTCCACAGACACCAGATAGATGCTGGACTCTGTTAAGTCTCCCTTTCAGTTTCTCAGTATGGCCTTTGCTCTACTCATGTCCCACCCAGTTTTACTCTACAGGTGGTTAGAGCAGGCGCAGTAAATCACAAGACCAGCAAGGACAACCTGCTGAGTAGGCTAGGGAAAAGGAGACTATCACACCTCACACTTGGCAACCTGTAGCCCAGGGGCCACCTCAAGAGAAGCTAGCAGCTGAGAAATGCTTATTTTTATAATGGTGTTTCACTAAACTTGAGACACGAGCTAGAGTATGAAATCAGGATTTGTTTGGCCCACTCATGGCTGGCTTGATTTGACCCTCAGAGCACCAAACCCATTATTGGTGTAACTCCACTGCTAAAAGAGGATTTCCACCAGGCATTGGATTGGTTTGGAAAGTTCCTAAGTATACCATGTAGTCTGACCAGGAAAAGTAAAAGGAAAGCAAAATTATGCAAAGGACTGGGCAGTCTAATCCTCTTCCACCACCATCTGTAGACCCCCATGCGAATGTACTGAATTACATTTGCCAAAGAGTTTCTTGTGTTGGTTGTTTTGATTTACAGTCGGTGGATGCATTGTAAAGCAGTATTATAGCTAAAGTCTAGTAGCTGACACAGGGATTTATGTGGTAATATTATGCAGAAGAAAACCATCAATATTCATATAGATTCCATTAGACTGGACTATGCAGGAAACGCAAAAATTCTACCAATTATTTAATATTATGTTATTTGCAAAAACAATTGCTGCTTTGTAGGAAGATAATGTGTGTAATGTGAAGGCAATTCCTCTTGTATATAAGTTCATCTCCATCTTCATCATGGTAGTTATTAAAACAGCCTCGTCTCATCCTGTAGATAAGGAACACGCTGTCTGTACTGTGCAAGTCTTGTGCTCACTGAAAACAAAACAATGTGTTCAATAAAGCACAGCACAAATCCAGAACCTGAGGGAACAGCCAAACCTTGAAAGGACCCCTTCTCCAACAGGCCAACATGTTGCTTCAGTTGCTTCGTTGTAGGTGGATTTTTTTGTTATTATTATTATTTGTAATTTTTCTTTTTAAAGTTTTACAAGAAAAAATGAAAAATAATTGGAGAAAAAAGTCACTATGCAAAATCCAGTGAAGGTCAATGGCTTACATCTCTCTCCATTTTGTTGTTTTTTTCCCTTTTTCACACCTCTTTCTGTTCAATTTCTAGCTCTCTCATTATTCTTCATTCCCAGTGCATTTTTCTATCCAGAGAGGAAACAGCATTACTGGTATGAGAGCAGGTATCTGGGAACTCGAACTCCCCAGTTCTCCTTGTGGCTCTAGAGAACCTTTGTCAAGTCTGATTTCCCCCCTATGCCTCAATTCCAATCTTCTGTAAAAGGGGGATAACAATAGTTCCTAATTCACAGGGGGATTGCGCAGCTGAATTAATTAGCACCGGCTCAGTGCTTTGAGATCCTGGAAAGAAAATTCTATCAAAGTGTTCAGTATTATTCTGAATAATAATGAATGTTTCCATTTAATTTCTCTCTTTTCCTTCTTCTCACAAATCATTATTCATTTCATAAATTCTTCTTCCTTAGCTCTCCTTTCACTTCTTTCTTTTCTTATCATTCTTAGTTCTGCTGCTACATTTACTTTCCTTCTGTCACCAGTTTTTTGTGGGAAGGAATCTCATGAGTTCTCAAATGCCATGCTTCACTGAAAGCAACAGGGTCCATGGCATTTAAAACCGGGCAGCACTTTCAAGTCCTATTTTCTGAAGCTCCCACATCCTTTTGGCCCAATGGGATGTGGGGCAACAAGGAGGGAGGTTTGCACAGGGTGGGTGCATTAAAGTTGACACCCTTGTGACCTCTGAATCTGTTGGGGAGGGTTGGTGGCAATGAGCCCTGCTGTGGAAACAAGAAGTCTGCATGCTTTCTGACCCATCAGTAGCGATGACTCAAACTGAGTAAGACTTCAGAATTAATCACAACATGAACGTGAAGATGTTAAACAAAAAGAAAATTAAAAACCCTGCACCTTTCTCCTCTTGAGTACATAATTATATATCCACATCAGCATTTTCTTAAAGGGATTTTTGGTTTGCTGAACTGTTGGAAAACCCTCACACTTTTGTTTCTAATAAAAACCACACCTCTGGGAAAAGAAATATGAACCATAGCTGCCCGTTTTGGTATTGACAAAATGAGAGCTTCTGAGGGACCTCACAAATACCACAGTGTGCTCTTTGGCTGGGCCCAGGATGGTGGCAGAATTGCAAAGCAAGGAGGGACCAAACAATGACAACTGCAGAACTGATCACAAATTCAATCATAAGCACCTTTGCTGGTGCCTCCAGGCTAAGCTAGACATGAGACTGCGGAAGGGAGGGGGCCAGTGCCAAGAGCAGGTTTATATCCATCCTAGGCTACTGTGGCCACTCCT